AGTCTCATGGAATTTGCTTATGCTTGATTTATGGTCAAGAATGTGGTCAATCTTGGAGTATGTTCCATGTGGTTATGAATATAATCGCTTATTCTGTGGTTGTAGGATGGAATGTTCTGTAGATATTTATTAAATCTATTTGGTCAAGCATCAAGTTGAGGTTCTTAATTTCCTTACTGATTTTTTGCCTCAATGATCTATCTAGGGTTGTTAGTGGGGTATTATGATTTTGTTAGAATCAATATCCTTTTTTAGTTTTCATAGTTGCTTTATAAATTCCAGTGTTCCTATGTTGGGTGCAAATAAGTTTAAGGTGAATATTTCTTGCTGATGGATTGTACCTTTTACCATTATGTAATATCCTTCTGGATCTTTTAAAATTTTTGCTATCTTGAAAGTTGTTTTGTCTGATATTAGAATCATGACTCGTTATTTTTTGTTTTCTGTTCACCTGAAAGTTCATTTTCTATCCTCTAACTTCGAATCTGTGGGTGTCCTTTGTAGTGAGATGTGTTTCTTGGAGGTGGTATATTGTAGGGTCATGTTTTTTTTATCCAGTTTGCCATTCTATATTTTTTCAGTGGTGCATGTAGTCCATTTGCACTCAGGCTGATTATTGAACTATTAGAGTTTGTCTCTGTCATAAGGCTCTTATAATGCTGTTTTGGCTCCATGTTTGCCTGTACTCTAGCAAAGTGCATTGTTGTTCTTTGTTTTTCCTTTTTCTGTGTTTCATACCTTCTTAAGTATCTCCTGTAGAGCTAGTATGGAAGCATCTCTGAGTGATTGAATGTCTGGGAATGAATTTAACTCTCAATCACTGATGTAGCTTATCTTAACTGGGTGGGGAATTTTTGATTGGAATTGTTCATTTTTGAGAACTTTGAAGATTGGACTCCGGTCCCTTCTAGCCTGTAATGTTTATGTAGATAAGTCTAATGCCATTCTTATTGGTCTTCCTTGGTAGGCAATCTGGTCTTTCTCTTTTGCTGCCTTTAAAAGTTTTTCTTTTACAGCTACTTTGTGTAGGTAAATTACTGTGTATCTAGGGGTTGGTGTTCTCATTTGATGCCTTGCAGGAGTTCTCTGAATCTCTTGTGTTTGAATGATTGTTTTTCTGGTGAGATGAGGAAAATTTTCTTGGGTAACCTCCTGTAATGTTTGTTCCAAAGCGTTCTCTTTTTTTTTCTTTCTGTTTCAAGTATACCATTCAGGTACAAGTTCAGCTTCTTGATATAATTTAAAATTTCTTAGAGACTTTGTTCCTTGTTTTTGAATTTTCTTTGTTTTTAACTCTTGGGTTATTTTCATATTTTGGCCTCCAAGCTCTGAGATTCTTTCCTCTGCATAGTTCTGCTTTCCATGCTTGTCAGCTTATCTATTGCCTGGATGGAGTTTTTATGATCAAAATCTCTGTTACCATTTATTTCAGTGTTGCTTCTTCTCTTTCTTGTGTCTTGTTCACTCTTTCCATTCACTGCCTGATGTCTGTTGCCTGCTGGGGCCAATTTTGGGTGACTTCCATTATATGGGCTCTGAGGTCTGGGTTTTTTTTAGGTACTGTCACTTTGTGACTCTGGGGATTACTGCTGATCTCCCCTTGATTTTTCTTCATTTGTGACAGGTCACTTTCCTCTTTCTTTAATTCCATTATTCAGTGATAGAGGAAGAAGCTTCCACTTCTGTTATTTGCTCAGTCTGCTCTCCTTCCCTGAGCAGGGACTTTGGTGGTTTTATTTTGAGATGGGGCTGGAAGTGAGAAGTTGTGCTGTCTCTTTGCAGTCAAGGTTGAATAAGGAGTATTGTGGGGCACTAAGATTCAGAAGCTACTTTCAGACTGCAATGTCTAACGTTTGGGATGTAGGCTCCCTGAGACCAGCTTCCCACCATCTCACAATATGTCCTTGCAATGGAGACATATGAGTATCCCCCCTTCTCTGGCTAGGTCTTCCTCCTCTGATAGAACCCATTGTCCCATGAATGGGCCAGCATGGGGGATGGGGTGACTGGGACTCTGCACTGGCCCTCCCCTCCAGTGATCATTCACGCAAAGTTATGTCCTTTGGGTTTGTGATGATCAATCCCAGAGAGATGTGGATTTCACTTCCAAGTCCCAGGGCACTGATCTGCTGCTCAATGGTGGGCATTCTAGAGCATTTCCTGCCCAGGTTCCAGTGTAACAGCGATAGTGACACTTCTGTGTCTGCCCCTCTGCTAGATATCAGCATCCATTTCTCTCACTACACTCTCACTTTAGCCACCACTGCTAGTGTTGGCCTGGCATCAAAGGTGGTGGTGGGACTGGGTGCCAGGCGCTGAGCCCCAGCTGCTCCCTGTGGCTTCCTTTAGAGAAGGATCCCATTGACTCCCCAAAATGGCACTGCTGCAAGAAGGTCTGGGATCATAACATCAGCAATGGTGTCTGCTTTACCTGGAGAGATCAGGTCACTTGTTTCTGAGTCCATACTCAGACACTCGCACATCCACTTACACACACACACAGACATACACACACACACGCTAATTCATCCTTGCACACACTCACTTAAACAGAGACTTATACACTTCAACTGGCTCCATTGCCATCTTCCTGGAGCCCCACCTCACTATCTTCCCAGTGTACATTTCTTTTTCATTTTATTTTAACTGGAGTTCACTGAGTTTCTTAAACTTATATGAACATTTTACTTATCAGATTTTGGAAGTTTTGAGTCATTATGTTTTCAGAAAAGCTCTCTGCTCCTTTCTCTCTCTTCTCCTTTTAAAATTATCATAATGCACATATTGGCCTTCTTCATGGTAGCTCATAAGTCCATTATGAACTCTTTTCTTTTCTTCCTTTTTTGGTCTTGTTGCTTTCCTAACTTGATGATTTCAAATGACCTACCTTCAAGTTAGCTGATTCTTCTGCTTTATCAAGTCTGATGTTGAATCCCTCTAGTGAATTTTTCAGTTCAGTTATTGTATTTATCAGCTCTAGAATTTGTTTTCTTCTTAGAGTTTCTATCTGTTTGCCGATACCCTCATTTTGTTTATGTCTGACTTTCCTGATTTAACTTAATAGTCTCTCTACATTCTCTTGAGCTCATTTAACATTTTAAAATAGTTTTATCAAATTTTTATCAGGAAGTTTAGAGATCTTGTCCCTGTTTCTTATCTAGAGCCCATAATCTCTTACCTTGTCATCTTCCTGATGTACTGAAGAATCTTTACAGCTCTAATAGGCTGCAGGAGTGGTCTCTGCAGGTTTCCAAACTGTGCTGCCATTCTCATCATGGCTCCAATCAGGAGAGACATAGACCAGTCTCTCAGGCAGCCTCCTGGCAATATATAACTTGGACATATAGTCCACTCTTTTGTTTCTGTCTTGAGGGAGTATCTGGGGTATTAAAGATTTCCTTCCTTTTGTACTGCACTATGCCAGGTAGGGTAGGGCATGGGCATGCAAAATGCCTTGAATTTTCCTAGTCTTTTTTGATGGAGTCACTTCTTGGTTATGCATTGACCTGGCTGCTGCATCTCTTAAGCAGTTTTTAGAATTCACACAAAAAAGTATTCTAGTCCTTATGTTATTGTTAACTTAGTATCTCCATGGGTTAACTGGTGCCTGGTGCTTGTTAATCTGCCTTCTTGTTGGTGTTTTTTCCTTTTTTGTTGAGGAATTGTTAAATGTGGATAATTATATACAACTTTTATTGTTGAATGTAGAAACTGAATGTATTATGTTATTTTACTATTATTAATATTCATATGCATTAGATCTTTAAAGTTTTTTTTTTCATTTACTGAGTAAAGCATGCAAGGTTTACAATATTTTATCTCTGTTTTCCTTGATGACTCAACTAGTCCTTAGTGAGTATGCCAAGATATTTTTATATTTCCTCTCTCTTTCTTAGAGTTCTTTTTATCTATTATTATAAATATCTTGTCATCTATCTGATGTACTGAAGAATCTTTACAGCTGTAATAGACCGCAGGTTTAACTCATAATTTTCTTTGCTAATATGCTTTCTTATTGCATAAAAACTCTTGCTTTTGTAACTCATCTGTTTAGTGAATACAGAGATAACAATGTTATCCACTAACCTGTGCCAGGCATGGACAATATTTTTTGTTAAGGAATGCTAATGGTTTTTTACTCATTATTTATAGTCTTAATAGTATACTTAAGCAGAGACAAATTAGCTCAAAATAAAAATAGTCTTATTACATGTCAAAGGAACTGAGCTCTGATACTTGATCTGTGTTTCACTGGCCTTGTCTGTACAAATGATTTTTTTCTCATTTAAAAAATTTTGAGGATAAAATAAAGTGTGAAGCTATTTTGAAACATATAATACACTGAACTAATGAAAAGGTTATAGTTGTTTTTAAAACACTTTTAACAGATGCTACATCATACATTTTTCTTACACTTAAACCTATAGCATTATCTTTTAATTTGTTACAACTATTCTGTGCTCCTCACTTTTTATCCATATTCTGCATATATAAACTGTTGGACCTAACCGTGTCTTCTTGTGATTTTAGTAGCAAATTTGATAAATATAAATTTCTAATATTTTTGTGTCAGTATCCTAAAATTATTTCAGAAGCATTATATTTGTGTAAACATCACTGAAAACATCACTGAAAAAAATGTATCCCAGGGCAGACAAGAGTTGTTTGCATTGACATGAATACAAACTTTACTATATTTTATAATTATACTTATACTATGATAATTTGAAAATATATAGTTATAGATAGTCCTTAAGTGTGTTTTTTATAACTAAAAATTGGTTACAAAGATTAAGGGAGTATATTTGAAAATGTATTATTATGTTTTATTATTTAATATTATTGTTTTGCCTGTACTTTCTTAATATGGACATATTTGTGTATATGCTTAATAAACCAACTTGTTTTGCAATGAATTTTTTATTGCATCTTAATTAATACTCTTGGTAGAAGTCAGAGTTATAGCATACATCTAATTACACTTTTAAAATTCATTATAGACTGACACCTTTTTTCTGGAAGCTGTGCATCTTGGAGATTTGTATAAGATTGTGATAGGCCATGATGGACTTGGCTCAGGTAAGGCTCATCCACAGAGAGTGAATGAATATCCGGCTGTACTCTATTTATGTGAAATCCTGCTCAATTCTAGAAAATACTGTGGAAAACTGATATCCAATTATTGCTCCCCAAAATCAAAATATTGTCCCCCAAAGTCCTTTAAAATTTAACTATATTTTTTTCTTCAAAATGACATAGGTAGACTTGGGAGATAATCTTGAATGGGCTTAGAATGTTAGACAGAGTGACTAAAAAACAAGAATGAAATTTGGATTTGTATGTTTGGCTTCTGGCAGCATTCTAGCCTGCTGCTGGTAGGGTTAGTAATTGTGTGTCCTGGTGGTGCTATTCCTTGAAGGTTATGATTGCCTCCAACTGAGGCACATTAATGAGACTGTCATTAACTTGTTGGCTCAGCTGTGTTTTATACTGTAATTTTGTTTATGCTTCTCCCCAGTCTTCCCATCCTCTTTGTGAGATGACTCATATCTTCACCCAAAATTTACTTTCTGCTACAGTATAAAACAGTCATAGGACAAACAAAATCCACTTAGCAAAAGATGAAGTACTAAAGGGCACATACCAAAAAAAGGATTAAAAAAACCCAAAAGCATCAAACAAGATGATAAACTTTCTTACTCAAATGTGTCAAAGTATAATTTTCAAAATGTTAAGAAAAAAATTCTCATATAAACATAGAGTGAACATGTGTTTAAATAATTAATGAGGGAATGAGCAGGTTAACAAAGATAGCTCAAAGAAAGTTGCAAGAAACTAAAAATTATGTGCATGCAATCAATGAGAACAAAAAGAATAATGAATAAGATTGATAACTTAGAGATATGATCAATATTCTTTTTTTAATCAATATTTTTTATTGTGGTATTGTGGGGTACAGTTAAGGGTTAGGTATACAAATATGCTTCGTTCAGGCACCCTTGTTGATAAGAGGTGTCTCCCTATCCCCAGACAGATATTTACTACTGTTAATCCCATCTCCCTTCCCCTCCCCCCCATAGTTTCCCACCACTGTCAGTCATTTTCTTATAGTATTACATTGGATGTTCAAGGTCCACTATTTGAGTGAGAACATGTGATACTCAGATCTTTGTTTCTGTGAGAGATCACTCAGTATTATAGACTCTAGTTCCATCCAGGTTGCTGCAAAATTCATGATCTTGTTCTTTTTTATGGCTGCGTAGTATTCCATCATGTATATGTACCACATTTTTTAAATCCAGTTCTCTTTTGGTGGACAGCATGGTTGGTTCCAGGTTCTTGCTATTGTGAACAATGCTGCAATAAACATTCGTGTGCAGGTATCTTTTTGATAGAGTGATTTGAGTTCTTCAGGGTACATTCCCAGTAGGGGGATTGTGGGGTCATATATGATCAATATTCTATAGACAATAAAAATATGCCTTTGAAATTATTTTCTCTTTTGAACAAAATTATTTTATATTTTGAGCAGACATAAATCATTTGTGTTTTACTTTTTGTCAGTTGATAGCTAATTTTACAGTATCTGGGCCTTAATCCATAGTAAGTGTTAAGTCAAATAATGTTACACTCCCACAGTGAGTCAGATGACTCTCAGACAAGCTTATTAGTATTCTACTATAACATTGACTAGACATGTAGTCATTATTGGATCTTATTTCTGAGTTTTTGTTAATTTTTCTAAACAAAGGCAAACATTTTTCAGTCGAAAAAAATCCTCGTATTCAATTATATGTTCTATGCAAGAGACACACTTGGAATAAATGATCCCTTAATATTAAAAAATTACGTTAGAAAATGATATATCAGAAATATGTAAATAAATATTATTTTAGTTATAACATTATTATAATAGTAAGTACTATTTAAGGCAACAAACATCTAAAGGTATAAGAAAGATAATTTTTTGAATAAACGGTGATTTGCAATGAGATGATAATATTCATATGCCTTTATGCAAACAAGATTGAGCATGTACAGTGTGGTATGGCTGTAGAATTGAAACTTTATTTAATACATAACATTGCAAGTAAATAGATAAAGTAAATTTCTCTTAGATAGTCAAAAAGAAATGAAAATAAAATAGGGTAGGATTTTCTTATATGTCTCAGATTTTGGCATGTTAGCCAATTAGTTTAATTACTCTCCTCAAAGGTTTGTACTGTGTAGACAGAGAAGCATTTTCATTTCAAACTCCATGAGACTTTTTATAATTTTACTCATATATTAGGCCAAACAGAACTCTCAATACTTTCCAAAAACAGGCCACATTCTTTAACTACAATTTAATAAAAACAAGTTCAACTAAAAAATGAAATTAAAAAAAAATTCAATCACTTAGCTATTTCAGTCCTTCCCATGATTTCACTTTGGGCCAAAGTGAAAATCATAACTGCAATTGCAATCTAACAGAATGCTGCAATGGTAATTTTTTCAGTCTCATTTTCGGCTGAGGTCTCAAAAGGCCAGGATAAAATAATAGGAAGTGAGATCTCACCATCTCTATTATTTCTTTGCAGGATGCTAAACCAATATGCTTTAGACAGGATAATTTATTTTAAAAAAATCAAAAACAAAAAACTCCCAAAAGAAACATATTTGTTTCTTACAGCCCAGGAAGCTGGGAAATCCAAGATCAAAGTACTTTCACTTAGCGTCTGGTGACAGCCTTCTTGTTTTGTCCTCCTATGGAAGGAGGGCAAAAAAGGCCTAGCTGTGTCCTTTGAACACTTTTATAAGGGTACTAATCCCATTCATGAAGGCAGACCCCCTCATGACTTAATCACTTCTTAAAGGCTCCAATTCTTAATACTATCATTGGGTCTTTGGTTTCAACAGATGAATTTTTGGGGGACACATATATTCAAACCCATCCCAGCACTATCCCAAATATAGACAAAAGACCATGTATTTAGGACTTATGAAGGAAGGGACTGACAACAAGTTATAGTTTCAGCATTTATAATGCCTTATAAAAGGTATACGTTTTTGTTGCAGTAGGTTAGCAGCTGCTGTGATACACCAACTCCTAGTAACAGGAGAGGCTGGAGGGGTTCTTTTTTGATATGAAGGAACCACTTGAAGAAACTGCGCCGTCTAGAATTTGTTACAGGACTCCCATCGAAATAACAGTTTGCAGGCTGCCTCAATGGCCATTGACTACAAAGGAAGGAAAACCTGGAGAAGGGACAGAGTATAATTTTAGGCAGATAGTCAGAGAAGATACTACAGTAAGTAATCCCTAGAGATAGAAGATTTTCAAAGAACCCACCTAACTCTCCATAAAGAGTCTACTTTAATTATGTGTGTGTGTGTGTGTGTGTGTGTGTGTGTGTGTGTGTGTGTGTGTTTCATGAGACTTTTCTAGATTTTTAGTTCTCCTCTTCCCCTACTCTCTTTATCTCCAAGTGCTTGGGGGCAGATAGTTTGAACATGTCAAATTTGAAAATCTAAAATTAAAAATTTACAAAATTCAAAATTTTGAGCACCAAAATCATGATCAAAAGAAATGCTTATTGGAGCATTTCAGATTTTTGATTATTTGAATTAGGATGCTCAAATTCAAAATCCGAAAAAAATCCCAAGCAAAACACTTCTGGTCCCAAGAATTTTGGATCAGGGCTATTCAATCTATATAATGTGGAAAGAAAAAGTTAACCCGGGAGCTTGCCCACTTCCTAAGGTTCCAGAACTAAAGATGGGGAAGAAGAGACATTTCATTTTTAAATAAAATTTGGAGTTCGGATTATTACATGGGATTAGTCATTATAATTCGTGAAATGAATCCAGTTCTGTTTTAAAAGAAGCAGACAGACTTTTTATTTGCAAGTGACCAGAAAAATCAGAATACCTGTTCTAGCTTTTATTCAAGGAAGAAGAACACAGGTTTAAATGAATAAGCATGTGAAAATAAATCTTCTCCTTGTTGCCTGTGGAGTTTTGGTCTTTGAACATAGGAGTATATTATTAACTATTAAGAAAATAGTACTACAATTTATAAAATTCAAAGGCATATTCAGATTCTCACTTTTGGTGTCATTTAGTAGGAAAACAAACTGTTTTCTCCTATGCTTTCAACACAGAATACTTGTGTGGTCAAATATGTAGTGTCTCCTCTCTCCCTGCAACTAGTTGAGTAACTTTCAATTCTGACAGTATCTATCGGGAGTGGATGTCATGCCCCACAGATTAAGGGATCAGTCTCACAAGACTACCCCCAATGCCAGATGCTAAATGCAAGTTTAGGCTTCCAGAACTTGTGACAAACTGACAATACCTCCATGATTCCCATGGCACACCTCAAATTTAATCATTTGCTAAAGTAACTCACAAAGCTCAGAGAGACACTAATGTCTACCAATTTATTATAAAGGATATTCCAAAAGGCACAGATGAACAGCTAGTTGAAGAGGTATATAGGGTGAGGTCTGTGGGGTGGTGTGCAGAGCTTCCGGGTCCTTTCCAGGAGCGATCTTTCTCAGCACCTCCATGTCTTCAGCAACCTTGGAAGGCCTTTGAACTCTGTCCTTTTGGATGTTTACGGACACTTCATTACATATGCAGAATTGATTAAATCATTGACCACCGGGGATCAACTAGACTTTTAGGTCCCCTTCCATTTCTTACCCCTGAGATCTGGGGATGGAACTGAAAGTTCTAGTTCTCAAATTGTATGGTTGGCTCTTCTGGTGACCAGTCCCCATCCTAAGACTACCCAGCGGGTCCTAGACACCTGTCATCTCGTTAGGATACAAAAATACACTTAACTACATTAGTATTTCAAGGATTCCAGGAGTTTTGTGTTAGGAAACAGGGAAGAAAAGCAAAGAATATATTTCTTATTTTAGATCATGATGCAACAAGTATTTAAAAAGAAAGACTAAAAATAGAGGGGGAAAATCCAAGATGGCCATTATGGAGCAGCAGACCAGTGCATGTCTCAGCAAGCAAGGCAGAGAGTAGGGATCCAGTCACCGATACACTTTTGGACAGGTGCAGCACTGTGCATCCAGTAAAGG